AAATTGGAACAGTACAGAGAAGATTAGCACGGCCCCTGCACAAAGGATGACATGCAAATTCATAAAGCATTCCATATTTTTTTATTGATTTGGGTGAAGGGAAGGACAATGTACCGAGTATGAGTGATCAACATAGTGGCACTGAGGAAGAAGAAGACATAGAGAGGTACATGGGAGGGACAGAACAAAGATGAACCCTTTTGCATGTACAATACTGCTTTGTCAGTGATGGCAAGCATTGATCTACAGGTGGATAGATGGGTGGACAACCTGAACGATCAGGTATGTCTAGGCAAGGGGTAGTGTGCCCATGATCACATATAGGGTTGGTAGACGATGTTTCTACAAGCGTATTTTTATGTGCTGTAAGAATTTCCAGGTGTATAGTAGAGCTGACAAGGGGCAAGGTTGTGGTGACCTCTTGGCCACAGCCAGCTACCCAGAGGGAGCGAGTAGTTGGACCTGTGGACTCAGGGCCATGGTTGCAGGGGACATCAAGTTCAACTGGCATAACATATAACACAAAAACATTGTTCCACATCCTACTTTGGTGAGTAGTGACTCAATCTTAAAAACTTGCAAGCAGCCATCTAGATACAATGATGAGTCTCTCCTCATCCAGAGCAAAGAAGAATGAAGAAAACCAAAGACACGTGGAAACAATTAGTCCAAGGGACTGGTAGACCATGTCATCCTCAGCTTATATGACTAGGAGACCAGAAGAATTAGATGGTGACCAGCTACCACTGTCAACCAACTGGAAGGGGATCAGTGCAGGAGATCCTGGATAGAGTAGGAGAACAATGTGAAACAAAACTAAAAATCATTATAAATAAATAAATAATAAAACCAGGTTTGCTGGTCTGATAGAGCCTGGTGAGAGCCCTGAGATTATAGCCCCTAGCTACCCTTCAGGGCTGGAATTGAATTCCTTCCTATGGCTTCCAGACAAATAACAGACAGGCATATGGGTTGAACATTTACATCAAGAAGATACACTCCTTAGAGTGATCAATCATGGGAGAACAGAAGGGTAGTGTATGCAAAGGAAGACTGCTGGGGGGCAGGAGCACATGGGAGGGAAGGATACAGGAAAGAGGCAAATACAAGGAGGAAGTGGGAAAAGAGCTGTTACATTGTGAGTAATTACAGTCAATGTCATGAGACAAAATGAGTAAGAAATGCTATATGGAAATCAAATTTGTTTTGTTAATTGTCACTCAGATCACAACAAAAA